TTTGCAACACGCGATATCGGAGAGACGCTTGTGCATTATTGCATACGTTATTGGATAGAAAAGTTTAACCTTGCGGATGCAATATTTTCAATCAGTTCTCTTTGATGTGCGTCATTCAGTTAGAGATTGCGCCATCAGTCTTGAATGCGCTGATCGTAACACTGGCATTATGTTACATTGTAAAATGTATATATCATTATATAAGAACAAATGACGCGTATATTTTCAGGTCTACGTGGCAGTTGCTGCCCTCGTGGTTGCGACAGTACTGTCGGAGGAGACCGCGAAAGTCGAGAAATCGGTAAAGTCCGAGAAGAAACAAGAGAAGCGTGGTCTTCTAGGTCTTGGTTACGGTTACGGTTATGATGGCGGATACGACATTGGATCTGGTGGACACGTCGGCCTTGATGTAGGCGGTGGATATGGCGGATACGGAGGAGACTTTGGCGGAGGATATATTGACGGTGGTCATCATGAGCATCATGTTAAGACCGTGACCCTTGTGAAGAACGTCGCCGTGCCCTATCCAGTGGAGAAGCACGTGCCTTATCCGGTTGAGAAGCCCGTACCGGTCCCCGTCAAAGTGCCTGTACCACAACCGTACCCAGTTGAGAAGCACGTGCCTTATCCGGTCAAGGTCCTCGTGAAGGTGCCCGTGCATGTGCCCCAGCCGTACCCAGTAGAGAAGAAGGTTCCCTATCCGGTGCACGTACCAGTCGACCGTCCCGTCCCGGTCAAGGTTTACGTACCACAGCCTTATCCAGTTGAAAAGCACATTCATGTTCCGGTAAAAGTAGCAGTGCCGCAACCGTACCCTGTCGAGAAGCCAGTACCGGTACCGGTGAAAGTTCCAGTTCACATACCCCAACCCTACCCAGTTGAGAAGCTCGTACCCTATCCCGTGAAAGTTCCAGTTGATCGTCCCATCCATGTACCTGTACCCAAGCCCTATCCCGTACACATTGAGAAGCACGTGCCTTACCCAGTCGAGAAGCCAGTACCCTACCCCGTGAAAGTTCCAGTTGACAGGCCAGTGCCCTACCCCGTGCATATCGAGAAGCCCGTGCCCGTCCACGTTAAAGTACCGGTACCGGCGCCGTATCCAGTAGAGAGGCCAGTACCTTACCCGGTCGAAAAACCCGTGCCAGTAGCAGTCAAGATTCCAGTCGACAGGCCGTACCCCGTTCACGTCGAGAAGCCTGTGCCTTACGCCGTGGAGAAGCCTGTACCTTACCCAGTTAAAGTACCGGTGGCTGTGCCCGTCCATCACGAGCACCATGGACATGGCGGCTATTACGCTGGTGGATACGAGGGTGGATACGGAGGTGGTGATTTAGGCTACGGTCACCACTAATATCGTCACCTCCCAGCTGGTTTTCCGTTATCGTCGTGCAAAAGATTTCATTTTGCGACGATGACGGATAGCCGATGAGGATTGTCTTAGGTTACGAATGTTACCGATCCGAAACGTTGCCGTGCAGTGCAGCGATATCTGCCACTTTGTACCTGGATCGGAATCGGGGACGATCTCTGGTAGACGATCGCGTACCGGACCATCGTATCTTCGAATCCGATCGCAACGAGGACGCGGCACGGCGACGTGTGCCAGTTAGGAAGAACGAATGACCAGTAGGGATGTACTCGTCTTTAGCGATCTTCGCTCGAGAGCAACTTGCTTGTCTTACTTTTGTACCGATATTAGCAAAGTATATGTATTTTTTTACGGAAACGAAATAAATATTAATGTAAAGTAATCGCGCCTTATGTACTTACTTACTTTTCCCATATTCTATATATAATATTTCCTTTTTCCTAAAAAAGTTTCTAGAAGATAAGGAAAATAAAAGTTTATACAAAAATATAATGTTAAAAGTTCGCGTAATTATTCAATTTTTTCAGTTTTTAAATTAGAAGTTAAACTGAAAAGATTGTAAATGAACAACATAAATGAACAAAAATAAATAAGGCTTAATACTATTTGTAATTTTGTATAAATATATTTACATTATACATACTTTGTTAATATTATATACGCAATATGTAAGTATGATGTTGTATTATTTAAAAAATGTATAAAGGATAGATGTAAAAAAGGAAAATGTTATTTATCAAGAAAAAAACATCAAGACCAATAGCTTTTCTTAAAACATCTTAGACTTTTGCTCTTTTCTACTAGTAATTGATAAATGTCATTGCATTCTATCGACAGCACGAAATTAAATGATAAGTTGTCGACCCAATTTCCGGAGGCAACGAGTTTCCGCCAAATCGATAACCTTGATCATAATTCACTCTGCACTTTCAATCTCATCTTAATTCTTCAAGAATAATCACAAGACGTTTAAGAATAAATTCGATATAACTAATGTTTCATTAAATTCATTGCTTCGGCTTTTATTATCCTACATTTTTCGAATTTCTCCAGGGAAATATGAAAGTTTGTTGTAAGTGAATTCTCAAGGGAGTGGTCTACTTTTCCCTTTAGAGAAATTACCAATTCAATCCAGAAAATTAAATGGTTGTAACAAAACTGGAAATAAGTATTCCTTCTTGGAAGCGTTCAATAAAAATTTATATACAATTACGCAGAATATTATCCAATATGTACCTTCCATAATTTTAATTATCATCGATCTTATGGGCCAAATTTTCTCGTAAAATTTTAGAAATAGCAGCGATTTTTAATAAAATTATATCATTGCTTTTGTTACACATATTCTTGTAAAAAAGGATAAAACTGCGATTTATTATGTGAGTTTTTAACTTAGATATAAATCTGACAAAGAGTCTCCTGGGATAAAACGCGAAGAAAGAAAAAGATAATAGAAGATACTTCGCTTTATTTCGTTGTATCAATTTACAATAAATTCCTATGGTGCATCAAAGGCATAACGGAATGAAGAAGGGGCTCGAAAGGGCGCGATCGATCTTTGATTATTCGCGGCAAAGGATCCCCTGGCGCCATTGCGGTGCCGTTGTCGGAGGTGAAGCCAATGCATCCGCGACTAATTTCTGCACGACCCACTTTGGTCGGAGCGCGCACGTTGGCTTTGCCACTTGACTCACGACTTGAAGCAACGACTTACATGCTCGTCTCCGCGCTACGAGCACGGGAACGGTTATGCAATCGCGCCATTAGCGCACGCGACGTCGAGGCTGAAAGTAAGAGTCTCTCCCCTTCGCCATCGTCTTGTCGCATCGAGAAAGATCGCGCGTTGGCCGCGAAGTCTCTACTTCCCCTTTCGTCCGTTTTCCAGGTCCACCGGAGTCCTTTCGCTTCCTCTATCTTTCCCGCCGCTCCTCTTCGCCTTAACTCGCGAAACCGTTCCATCTAAGACAATTTGCGCGGAGCGCAAAACGACATCACTGCTCTTTATTAAAAAAATATTGCGCTCCGTAAAGTCTTAAGATCACGAACGCCGTAGCGTAATGTGAGAAGGCTGGTAGCTTGCTTAAATGTCAGAGCTTTTACGGACTTTAAATTATATTCACAGTTTAAAGCTTTCTTCCTTGTACATAAATTGAAGAACTTTTCATCGTTTTAATAAACATTTATAACTTGATATTTAATCATGACAGAAGATTAAATTCTCGATCGTTTTGATGATCGCTGGTATGATGAAGAAGATAGATCAGATTTCGTATATATAATTATCTTTATACACATCCTTATATATATTCCATAAAAAATTACGACATTTAATTTATTAATTTCAACTAAGAGAATTTCATTTTTTAAATAAAATCGTATTGCCTAAACTAATAATTTAAATTTTGCCATGCTTATCCTTCGTGGTTAGTAATTCTGTTATGAAATTTCCTATCATCTAATTGAGTTAGAGTGAGAGGATCTCAAGCCAGTTATTTGACATTTATATATGATATTCGTTTTATCTTTGAAACGAACTGCCCACACAGCGCTACATATCGCAATCAAACGAGAATAATTTTAAAGATATCCCGATTTTTAGAAATTAACGAAACTTTTAAACATAAAAGGTTAAATTGACTTAAATAATTCGTTTTAATTGCGTCCAATTAAATTATTATTTCGTGGCATTTTTTGAATTAAGTATTCAATATTTTTATATAAGTTATTAGTCATTAATGTTTAAAAATTAAATTGAAGACAGTTGAATGCTTGAAACATATACATTTTTCAGAGAGAGTCTCAAAAGGAACGTTGTTTCTCTGAACTGTTTTGGACGACGGTAACCGGTAAAGCAGCTAGTCACTTTTACATTTACTGATACAATCTAAAGACATTTAATATATTTTCTAAATTAAATTATTTTTTTCATTAAATTAGATAATACGGAAGAGTTCATTTCACGCACCAAACAGCTTACGCAAAATCAAATTTTTTAAAACAAAAAACTTATTATTACTATATTTGTTACAGAAAAAGCAAACTATTTCCTAAAAGCTATTTTTGTTAAAAATTTTTGTTCAGTTATTGTAATTTATTGTAAACAATGAGCCTAGTTCCTCCATCACAATCTGATCGTATCTTTTATTTTGTATTATTATTATATGCGGATACCTTAATTTATTACGATTCATGATGATTATCTGGAATGTATATCGTGAGAAATAATATCGACTGTAGCTACCGTAGACAATGTTTAAGCGGCAATTCGTATTCAAGATTAATATGCTTTAAATTGCATTGTGAGAACATGATCACGATAAGCGAAAGTAATGACGCGAACGTATCATGATCCACTTCATACTCTTGGTGATCGACATTTGTATAGGGGCGTTTTATTGTAATTGCTAATAATGAATGACAATTGTAATTTCAACCTAGGATATAAACTGGCGTTATCATAAGTCGCGGTCGGTACAGTTCGAAGTAAAATAATATAGTCTTTCCTCTATATAAATCGTATATCGATTATTAATGATAGTAATTTGATGTAGTGATAAGTGTTTGTGATATAATAATTATACGCAATTAGTAATAATTATCGCGTTAATGTTTCAGAACTAAATAGAAACATAAAAGTCAAAAAATTAAATAATAAATATATAATTAAAACCTTTTTTCCTTTGCTGTTTTTTTCCCTGCTATTATACTGCCTTATTTGCGCTAGAAAGTACGTATCTAATAACACAACGATCTTGAGAGTGAAGGCAAAATCTATATATTAAAGATGTTAAGAAAGTTTACGAGCGTACAAATATGTAGTTCCGCCGTTATTAAGAAAACATTAATTGCGAAGGTAGATTTACGCACGAAGCTTATTTGCTTTAATCCGCAAATATCGCATTTAATAAGTTACGAATCATTGATTTACAAATCATCTTCTCTTTTCTTCTAGTAAATAAGTTGTCGATGTTAGTGGCGAACGTTTTCAGGCGTAAATCGAAAGAACTGAGAGTTTAAGCGCGGCATGTAAATTGAAAGTACATAATTGAAAAATACATTGAAATATAAATTATTACCCTATGATTAGTCTCACAAGACTGATTTCTCAACTAGATGGTCATTATAAGTGTGTGAGACTGGAGATTATTATTATTATTATAATTGCTACGTCAATACGCGTGATTTAAAAAACATATTCTAAGCTCTAAGCAGAGACTCCGATAAATTTATTCTTATTACGTTTGTATTTGCGCGCGCTAATACGCTTCTTCCTTCATTTTATCGCTTGACGAAATCTTGTGTATTTATGTCATAATCTAGATATCCGGAAGCGTGAAGCACTGCACGTTCAAAGCGCTCCGTTCGCGCTTCCGCTCTCGGCTTCCTCGTCCTCGAGACGAATACAATAAATTCTCGCGAAGGTGCTTATTCCCAAGAATTTTGATGACATTGTCATCGTGCGAAAAAGTGTCGAACTGCAATCTCGCGTTAAAATGTTAATTAGATTTGAAAGCAACGCGCCGCGTTTCTCCCGGCTTGTGCATCTTCGACAAAAGACCCGCGCGCGCGCGCGTCTGATTGACCAAAAACTCTCTCTCCGTTTTTGCGATCCATCATGAAAAATTCGCAAACGATGTTCGCGAAATCGCGGGTAATGACGTGTGGACTGCACGACTAATTATCGTGATAATGCGCTTGCTTTCGAGCGTCAAATATTTGACGCGCGTACGCGTTGGAAGGCGATAATGAAAATCGAATCGCATGACCATCGCGAAAAATCGTAAAATATAAAACGACGTGTGCACAATGTGAAACAACGAGGTCATCATTTTCTCCTCGCGACGGAATAATCGAATTACTCATATACGATTGCACTAAAATGCGATCTCATTGCAGTGTCACGCCATTTTACTACTGTTATTTCTTCTTTATCTCTTTTACGAACCAAAATCTATGTAACTACATAATTTTACGTGGCTGTATAATCGATGTGTTCTCCTTGCGCGATATTATCATTTCAGATAACGAAGATAGATACTGTATAACTTAAACGGTTCAATAAGTAATTCAGTACGAAACGAGTTCAAGCATTAAAGAAAATGGTTTATATAATTTTATTAATATCGATATTAGATAATTCTCTTGCTCTTAAGTAAAGGTAAACGTAGTTTGTACTTGTATAATCAAAACGTTTATGTAATTCGAAATTAATCGGAGTACGTTCACCATAATTGCGAAATTCACTACGCCTCTTGATTGGTGCGCTTGTCACGAAATGCTGTCAATTATGATTTTTGGAGGAGTGCTGATAAATATATTTTCAGCGATTACCGTGGAACAGGTTGTTCAGCCTTTCTGCGCAAGTTTCCATAATCACG